AGAGAGAAGTTATAAAAACAACCATACATGAATCATACCCAAACCTTGTGTTGTTTTGAATAACTTCCAAAACAGATTTACCAACAAGTTATAAAAAAAAAATCCAGAAATCCCTTTTCAGTCTGCTTTTTTATATTTTTGTTTTTGTTTTTGTTTTCTTTGAACATTGCTAATAAACAACTATCTACTTTCATTTCCTCTCAAATGTCACTGAGACTTCAAAATATTATAGAGAGAGAGAGCGAGAAAGAGAAACGAGAGAACAAAAAAGAAACAGAGAGCGAGAGAGAGAAACTCAACCACCGTGGTAAGCGCCAACGGAGATCGTCGCCGTCGCAAATCGCCGATGCTGTAGCGAGAGACAGTGACAAATGAGAACCTAACTGCAAACACGGTAGTCATAAAAATAATAATAATAATAATCAACTTGGTTGTTTTCATTTTTCGAAAAATATTTTCCAGATAGTTATTTAAAAAGTAAAAGAAATTATAATTTTTTTTAAAAAAAAATTTACTAAATACCAAAAATATAAAAAAAATACAAGAATTCAGTATTTTTTTGTATTTTTATGTATTTATTAATTTTTTAAAATATTTTTTTACGAATTTTTTACTTTTTAGATACATCTAACTAAGGTATATTTAAAAAAGTAAAAAAAAAATATTTAAAATTTAAAAAATATTCACTAAAAATAAAAAAAATATCAAAATTAAAAAATTTAATTTTCAAAAAATTTAATTCAAAAAATTCAAACTAAACGCACGGAATAATATGGAAAAATGGACGGGTCATCCCCGCTGTAAATTTTAAAACACACCACCTGGATATTTTTATAACAAAAAAATTGAGGAAAATTCGTGTAATCGGGCCGGATCTCCATAGATAATTTTGAATAGGATATCCATTACCATTCATTCTGTTTTATTTTAATTTTTAACATTCACTTTTCAAATATTTTTTTTTATTTTCACTGATTTTTTTTAATATTTTACGTAATTTTTAAAATTTTTAGACACACTTAACATAAATATACTTATAAAGTATAATATTTGTAAATTTTTTTTAAAAAAAATCACTAAATACAAAAAAAATAAAAATTCAGCACATTTTTCTTATTTTTTGTATATATTAATTTTTAAAATTTTTTTTTTTTAAATTTTACTATTTAAATACATCTAATTAAGGTGCATATAAAAAAATTAAAAAATTACTTAAAATTTTAAAATATTCACTAAAAATACAAAAAAAAAAAAAACTCAAATTCTATAAAATTGAATTCAGAATACTGAAACCAAATACACTGATTCTTATCTAATAATATCTCCAATATTTACACTTCTTTCGTTAATTTTGAAATTTAATAAATAAGTCCAGGTTTACTACATCAAATTCAAATCTATATCAAATTGATGATGTTTTCAGTTTTTCATTAAATTGAAGATGCCTTCAACTTTTTATCAAATTGAGAATGCCCTCAGTGTTACAGGTATACTGGACGATCAACTGGTTGTCCTCACAGATAACTTATCCCTTGCAAAATTATCCTCGGTCAATTTATACAAATCGGTCGACTGGTCGTTGATGAAAAATTTTTTTTTTTTGGTTATAACGCTTGATATCATATGAAGTTTTTATGCAAATTTAATAAATAAATAAATAAACAGGTGTTGAAGATGCTCTAACACCATTTTATACTTCTTTTTCGATAATAAAATTGAAGGAAATACAACAAAAAAATTCATAGATAATATGGTAGAAAATTTTAGAGAAAATTAGTCTAGGATCCCTCTTCCACTTTTAGACTTTGTGTGGAGTACCCTAAAAAAGCAAAAAAGTCACTATCCTATTTAAGTCATATCATCTTATTTAAGTCACATCATCTCTCTACCATATCACTTCAAACCCAACCTACATTTCATAAAAAGTCAAAAAGTGCACTTATTTAAATCATCACAAACCACACCTTAGTAATGTAAGAGATCCACAATATTATGGTGTGATGTCTATGGTCCCTCAGTGAGCTGCTTCCCGATGAGCGTGAGATCAATTTATATAGTTCAGTGCACCCTCTCTCTTTCTCTTGTCAGTTCCATAAAGGCTTGTTGGGCTTTGATTTCTAGGGTTTCTTTCCCTTAGATTCTTCTAATCGACTCGCTTTCCCTTCGAATTTCTGTTTTTGGAGGTCTTTGGGGTCAAATTCGCAACTGATTAATAGATATTGATGATTCAGTTGATGAATCCACACGGGTCCTACTCTGGTCTGGTTCGGACCGCTTCTTGGCTAACCCACTCAAATATGTATGAATATATATAAATTTTATATATATATGGTGTGTTTGGACTAGAGAAATTATCTTATTTGAACTAAATTTTCTCTGGGTTGGTCCAGATAAATTATTTGGTTTGGACTGATTTTTTTTTTATTTGAACTGAATTTTCTCTAGGTTGAAACTAGAGAAATTCTCTGATTTTTTAACTGAATTTTCTCTGGGTTGGTCCAGAGAAATTCTTTAGTTTGGACTGAATTTTCTCTGATTTGAACTGAATTCTTTTTGGGTTGAAATAAGAGAAATTCTCTAATTTGAACTGAATTTTCTCTAAATTGTTCCAGAGAAATAAGAATATACTTTCAAGATCTTGAATTGTCTTGGCATTTCATTTTTTCTGAAATAGTCTGAGAGATAAGTAGAGATCCGCCATTGCAAATCACATAAAATGAAATTTCTCTAGGTTAAAGAGAATTTATCTGGAAATGTTTATTTGGGAATTTCATTGATTTTGAGAGAATTTATCTGGCTTAAAGTGATCCAGAGAAATTATGCATTCATTTTCTCTAGAGAAAATTTATATCCAGAGAAATTCTCTGAGATTTTGGCCATTGTGTAAATTTTTTCTGAGAAATTCTCTGGGAGGTCTAGAGAAATAGAGAAACCTCCCAGAGAAATTCTAGTTCTCTAGAGACCATAGCAATTATGGAGAGAAATTTCTCTGGGAAGTCCAGAGAATGCGAGAAATTTCTCTGAGAAGTCCAGAGAAATTATCTGGATGAAATTTCTCTGGATCAAATTGAGGGACCTTAAACATTATGAAAATATTTGGTGTCCTTTGTGCTATAAAATTTTAATACTAGAGACCTTAAAAAAAAAATCCCTAAAATTTTTTAGTTTAAGGATAAAAGTCATATTGTTAATTACTAAATAATAATGTTCAATTACTTCATACTTACAAAAAAAAATGTTAAGAAAAATTATATTGAGTCGGAATCAATACAAAATGCATAAATAATTAAAAATAAAATATTAAAAAAAATAATTTAGTTAGGATATGAAGTGCCTCCAATAGAGGGTATTGTCTGAACTTATTTTGATAATCTAAATTATTATTTTTTTAGGATTATTTGTGTATATCACTCACTTAAAAAATTAATCTATCACATAATCATAGTATGTTTACTTTATCATATTTGTCACTAAAAATTAGATTATTTATTTTTAAAAATATACGTTACATTTATTTTTTAAAAGACAAATATAATAAATTGAATATGTCATTTTTTTAATTATAAATGATATATATAAATTTAAATAATTTTACAAAATAAATGATTTAATCCATAATTCTCATAAAAAAAAATTATTAATTGATCTTGAAACATTACTTGGCGGTATTCTTCACTAATCACAAATGGCTATACTCTTCTAAATTTTCTATTCACTCAACAAAAATTCATAAATCTTACGCTGTCTACTAATTACAACATCATTGAACAACACGTGCTAGTGTCTCAAAGCCAAGAAATAACTTCTCCAGTCCCACAGACGTAGGCAGTACCATCGGAGGGAAGCCTATCTAAAATATAAATTTCGTTTATGGTGTGGGTTAGTTTTTTAACTTTTTAATTATTTTAATTTAAAGTTAAATTTTTTTATTTGTGATAATTTTTTATTTTTTTTATAAAAAAATAAAATTATTATAATTTGAATATGATGTTTTGGCCTATTTTAAAAAATCACTTCTCAATTTTTAATCTACTTCCTTCTCTTATAAAAAAATCAAAAAATAACTTTTAATCATATTTTCAAAACACTCATTTATTTTATTGATTTTATAATTTATTTTATCTTTGTAACTAAAATATATATAAAAAAAAAAATTTTATGCCAAACATAAGAATATTTTGAAAAATTGATTAAAAGTTGACTTTTTAAATTTTTTAATTTATTTTATTTTTTTATAAATAAATTATGTAAAAAGTAATATAATAAGTTAAAAGCTGGAATCAGCTTCCGCCATTGTCATAATTTATTAAATTTAGGGAGATTTATTTATAAGTCCTATTTCGGGCACTTATGCTATGTTAAGTCCTATGTAATTTTTTATAGAGTATCAAGTCCTATTTAGATAAGAACATATTCCACAAGATCCTATCCGTTGTAAATAAATGGTATTAATATACCATTATATACTATAATGGCAAAACCATATATAGGAAATTGAATGTTACCATAGAAAGTTACATTTTCACATTCAATTAAAAAAATCAAAAACCTAATAAGTTTGCGAAATGTAACGTGGCACGTTGTGTTATGTTTATGTAGATGTTACGTTACGTTACATTTATGTAGGTGTCACGTCACGTTACGTTTACATAGGTACGTTACGTTTATGTAGGTATCATGTCACGTTACGTTTATGTAATGTCCCTTCTGATATGATCACGTTTATGTAGGTATCACGTTATGTTTCGCAAACTTAATCTATGATAACATTTAATTTTCTATATATAATTTTACCGTTATTTATGATATTAACAACGAATATTAAAAATAAATGTGTCAACAAACTTCACACAAAATTTATGAGAATATAAAATTTTTAATAAGACCATATTTAGAATAAGTCACCCTAACGGGATTTATAAATAGTTTTCACTTAAATTGATGGTAACTTAATCAACGGAATATACAATTTATACGTAGATCCTTTGCAACCAATCAGAAGTCAATGGTTAATGTACGATCATCGTGCGGTTCAGATTGATTGGTCTAGGGTTTCCGTCTTTCTTCAGCTACTCGGGAACGCCGACAGAGTTCTGAAACTTACGAACACAGAAACTAGGGCTCCAATATCTCTCTCTCTCTCTCTCTTTGGAAACACTCCCTCCGTTTGTAGCCGTTACAACGCCAGTATCATGATGGAAGATGACACCAGAGATATGGAACCAACCATGGACGGAGAAGCTAACGACGTTAGAGCCTCAGACCGAATTGACGACGACAAGCCTCATCATCGTTCCGGTGATGGAGCTAGCCCTGGGTAACTAACTCTTCTTTCTTGCTGTGTCTGTTTGGTTTCCGAGAAAACTTAGGAAATTGAGAGAGAAAGAGAGGAGAAGAAAATTGTAAATGCTTCGTTTTTATGTTGTTTTAAGTTTTACAAATCAATTGAGGGGTTAAAAAATTAATTCTTGTAGTTTTTCTCAGTAACCAAACGGAGGATTTGCTGTTTGCCAAATAGGGCACCAATTTCTTCGATCTTTTACTCTGTATTTCTTTCAAATTCTTTATAAGGTTGGCTTATACGTCCTTCAGCTAATTTTCATATTTCTTTACATAATTACTCGTAGATATTCTTGTACAGTGTGATTTTAGTATAATGCTTTGTTAAGTTGTTGGGAAAAGGGTGGGAAAGACATGAAATTCACTTAAACTAAGTTTATTACACTGTTTCCCTTCAATTAGGTGACTTGGGAACCGAAGAAATTCACATCAACTCTATTAAATTCTCTAATTTTCTGGTTTTCTATGGAAAAGATGATTTGGTGTTTCTGTAATTAGTTCCGAACCCTTTGAACATGTTGCCCAATTCTCTTGCCCTTCTTCGATAGGTGAAAGTATTTCTGGAACCCAAAATTGTGCATCCTTCTTGTTTAATTTTCTTAGGCACAGTTTGATTAAGTAACTCTAAAGCTGCATTTGGCGGTGGGTTTGGAGATCCTTATGGCGAATATGGTGGAAAATTAAAACTCTTTTTGAGTTGTTTGGAGTAAAAGTGGTGAAAATTACAAAAAAAGTTAATTTTTTTATAGCACCCATATTGACATGGTACTGAAGTTTTTAATTTCTTGCAAAAAACACAAGAAAATTTAAATTTATCCATACAAGAGTTACTTGTAGTTAAAATTTCAAATTCCTATATTTTTCTTGCAAAATTTTTATCATAATCAAATGTTTGCAAGCAAGGAATTATATCCTTTCCGTTTCTTTTCTTTCACTTCACTTTATACTACTTTCACTTTCCATCATTTTTCTTTTCTAATCAAACGGACCTCCTCACTCCCCTTCCTCCCAAAACAAAGCCTTTTCAAACATGAAATGTAAGTCTATGATTTGCAATTGATCAAATATATTTGCAACAAATTGTCTTCCATTCTTGTGGGTTGGTCCAGGTATTCTATATCTATGAATTCGATAACGTCTTTTATGTTCTTATGTGTTTCTGGTTCTTCTTAATGTTTTTCGCAGAAAAATATTTATCGGAGGTTTGGCAAGGGAGACAACTTCTGGTTAGTCATTTGTCCTTGGGGTGGTATTAAGTACTGCTCTTAAATTGAAATAGCTGAGATTCTTTGCTTTACATAGTTTTGAATGTATGATTGTTCATGCAGCTCAATTTCTTAAGCATTTCGGTAAATATGGTGAAATTACGGATTCTGTGATTATGAAGGACCGGATGACCGGACAACCCCGTGGATTTGGGTTTGTAACTTATGCAGATCCTTCTGTGGTTGATCAAGTTATTGAGGACACACATATTATCAATGGAAAGCAAGTAGGGCTTGAAATTTGAATCACAATTTTTATCTGATTGTTGCCTTTCCTTTCTCAAATTTCATTGGTTTATGCTTTTGCTGTTTACTTGAGAATGTGGCTTTCTTGTGTTTTTTTGGAATTTCTTTAGGTAGAAATTAAGCGGACTATACCAAAGGGAGCCATTGGTTCTAAGGATTTCAAGACTAAGAAAATCTTTGTGGGTGGTATTCCAACAACCGTGAATGAAGGTGATAGTCTTTTTTTATTGGTTTGTCTTATTATGTTATTGCAACATGGGTTGTTTGAATATGAAGCATTGTGCCTGATATGTTTATACCAAATGGGTCAGATGAGTTCAAGGACTTCTTTTCAAAATTTGGAGAGGTCAGGGAGCACCAAATCATGCGGGACCATTCCAGTGGCCGTTCTCGTGGATTTGGATTTATTACATTTGACACAGAGCAAGCTGTTGATGATCTCTTGGCAAATGGAAACAGGATTGAATTTGCTGGAGCTCAGGTAAATAAATTTCCATAATCTATTACTTCCATATTCCTCTGAAGCCTTTTGTTTGCAGGGTCATATATTTTTTCCTAGGTTATTTATATGTTTATTTATTGGTGAGTGAGTAAGATTCAATAGAAATAAAGAAAGACCGGGGGGGTTTATTATTTGATTCTTTAATGAAATTAACTTTTAACTAGAAAGATGTTGCGTATATCGTAGATGAATCTATTCATTTCATATCTTTAACTTGACAAGGATAAAATTATTCTTTTGGTAGGCAATTTGTTGAGCTTATTGTGGTTTTTGTTTAACTATGCTGCCCTTGTGGATTTGCTCAGTTGTGTCGTTTGGTACATATGACGGTATCCTATTTGTAGATTAAGATCTCTTTGGCTGTCTAGGATCTTTTCCAGCCTTTTGTTAATCTTCTCCTGATCACTTGGGCCAGGTGGTAAACAAATGGGGTGTGGCTGGGAGGCCTTCAATTCAAAGTTGTCTTACCTTGAAGTTAAATATAGAAAATAAAAAAAAAAATTTCTCCATTGTCTAAAAGCAAGACCCTTCCATAATGGGGATGTGAAGTCTTGGTTAAGATACAATGAATCTTTATATATGTGGTTCAATCACTAGTTTAATGGGATAATCTGTTACCACTCATAATTGATAATTTCCCTTTCTGTTTTCTGAAGCAACCTTAGAAAATCTCTGGATAGTGATCTTGTTTTGTATCTCTCTTATCTTCTAGGTGGAGATCAAGAAGGCAGAGCCCAAGAAACCGAACGCCCCACCACCACCATCCAAGCGTCACAGTAACTCTAAAGCTGCATTTGGCGGTGGGTTTGGAGATCCTTATGGCGAATATGGTGGAGCTGGATTTGGTGCTGGTTCTTATAGGTCAGGTGGAGCCTATGGAGCTAGAGCCAGTGCTTACGGTGGTTATGGTGACAACGAATTTGGTGGTTATGGGGGATATGGTGGTGGTGGTGGTGGTGGTGGTGGTTTTGGAGGCTATAGAGGAGAACCCTCCTTGGGGTACTCAGGCCGTTATGGTGGAGGCTTTGGTAGAGGTTATGATCTAGGTGGTGGTTATGGTGGGCTTGGTGAGAGCTATAGAGGATATGGTGGTGCTGCTGGTACAGGTGCCAGTGGTGCTGGTGGTGGCTATGGAGGAAGCTATGATACTGGCCTTGGCGGTGGCTATGGAGGGGGCGGTGAAGGTTCTTTTTATGGAAGTAGAGGAGGTTATGGTGGTGCTGCTGCTGGAGGAAGGAGGTATCATCCTTATGGAAGGTAGGGGGATTACAAAGGGAGTCATCTTGTTGAACTCAAAGTGCTAAATTGACTATTGAGGTTGTCTTTAGTTTGTGGCACTGATGTGAAAGTAGGGCTAGATTATGCTCTCGGGTTCTATTCATTTGACATTTTTGTATCTTTAAGTGAGAATTTGTTATTTCTTGCGTCCATTTCTTTACGATAAATTCTCTCAGATATGTTTCAATAGATGATTAATTCAATTGGTATGGATTAGCTGAAGAGATTATTAATTTTTTTTTTTCACATGTTGACACCAGACAGTTAAATTTTCTGATTGTTGTGGAATAGAATCTGGATTATAAGTTGCAGTTATGCTTTTGTCGTTGAATGCGATTAGTTTCTTCTTCCTGATGCATTCTCAGAAGGAGAGTGGTGAGTGGTGATAATAGGAGTCCTTTCTATTGCCTACAAGATTTTCAATGGATCTTTAGCATTTCCTAAAGAGTTCTAGGGGTTTTTCTTATAAAGAATTTTAGGATGAAGACCTGCCGAATTGTTTGTCATTTTAGGATGTGTTTGGACTTTGAATTTGTGTATTAATTTATATAGGGAAAGAAAATTTGAAGGAAAATGTAAATGATGAAATACAAGGGAATTTTATTTTACATTTTTCTCTCCTAGCCTAAAGTAGAGTGTTCTTCCATCCATCATCTACATGAAGGCCGGTCTACAATGCGAGGTTGTGCTTCATGTGACAACTCTTAACCCAATGGGATCACTTTTACTATTACCATAGAAATTGGGAATGAATTATTGGAATAGCAAACTTTGCTTTGGGATGTAAAGATATTATTTCACTTTTTCGATTAAAAATAGAAAATATGAACAAGTATATATAATTAAAATTGAATAAAGAAAGACTCTTAAGTGATTAAAATGCTGTAAAATAACTTCATTATATTACGATGGAAAATGTTTGAGAGCTTTAGAGGAAGAGCTCTATGGAGAGTAAAAGTTTTTTTTTTTTTTAGAATAAATATTGGGAGTTCTTATTTTGGAAGTCTATTTGGTAATGTGGCAAGGAGTGAGTCTCACATGTGATATGATGTGTGTATTTATGTTTTTTTTTTCTTGTTACATCACTAGAGTTCTTTTTAGAGCTTTAAAATTAGAGCTCTCTATCATTGTTGTAGGATTTAAACCTTGACAAATTTATTTATTTTGCCTAGTAAACACTATCAAAATATAAAATGAAATAAATTAAAAGGGATATAAAATAATGATTTGACAATACGAACAAGGTGAGGGGAAATTACTATAATTATGCTAAAATTATAAAATTTATTATCCTTTTTTTTTTAATTTCAGAAAAAGTCAGTGTAATTTATCATTCAAGAAAGAATAATTTAAAACGTATAAATTATATATTATGTCAAATTTTATGGTTGATTCATGAAATGTATGAAAAGAGGATCTCATTCGCTCTCTCAAGAGTTTTTTTATATAATAAAAAGAAAAGAAAAGAAAAGAAATATATACAAACAAGAAAGGAGACGAGGGGAGAGAGAGAGAGAGAGAGAGAGAGAGAGAGAGTGAGTGAGTGAAAGAGACTAGGGGAAACACCCGAAGAGAAGAGAGAGGGCCTTTTTAAGCTTCGCTTTTGCTTTGGTTTGTACGTTTGCTTCTTATTATTGGCACAAACACACAAACACAGAGTGAGTGAAGAGAAACTCTCTTTCTTTCCTTTGTTATTAATAATCCCAACCCATTAAACGACGAAATTCAACAGAAAAATCCTTACTGAAACTATTTCTTTAACTTCCGTTTTTTGTTTCGATCGGATCTGAAAAGGACTCAAGTTTCTACACTTTTTCTCTGACTTCTTGTTCTTTTTTTTTTCTTTTTCTTTTTTTTTTTTTAAAAAAATTTCTTTAACTTCGTTGTTGGATTGAAGTAGGTCTCCCTTTCACTTCCTACACCAGTCATGAAAGATTGCTTCCCCATCTGCATTCTGTAATCAGGTAAGAAAAAAAAAATTAGAATTTGTTTTTCTCTTCTTTCTTGCTAGTCTGTTTGGTACCTCAGAAAATGTCTGAAAGAAAAGGAACACTCACGTAAAGTTTAAAACAGTTCGTTAGTTTAGTTGCCTCCATTCTGTTTCATGATTCCCAAGCTTTCTTTTCTTTTCCTACCTTTTCTCTCAGCAATCAAAACGACCCGCAAGTTCTTCTTTTTGTTGTAGTCCTTCACTTCTTGGGTTCTTTATGAATCTTTTAACGTGGGTTTCAATTTTGAAAGCAATTTAATTTCTGGGTTTTGTTTGTTTGTGATTATTAATAACTGTATGATTGTGAATTACGTTGCATATATGTTTCTTTAATTGTGCAAGACATTGTGTGACAGTATATATTGGGTCTCTGTAGATTCATTGAATTTTGATAGGATTTTGTGTAGTGAGTCGTTCAAATGTACCTATTCGTTTCAGTTTCTTGAATTTTGATTGTATATACATTGGTTGAATATTCTGCATATGATCACTTTGGCTTAGGAATCGCTTTACTGTGGCAGTGCTTTTGTCAAAGTAATCAATGGAGCCCCTTGTTGATGGAGTCGGTTCTTTCTTAAAAAATCAGAATCTCTCTGCCAAACCATCCCGACACGAAGGTGCTTCATCTTCTTCATCTTATGCAATCACTATGGATCATGGGATGGTAACAGCCAGATATCCAATGGATTCTGTAGTTAATTCGAAGGTTTCTTATAAAACATCCCTTGATCACATGAAAAAAGGACCACCCAATTCATCAGAACACCATTACAAATCGAACAAGGGGAAATTGGAATTCATGGGCCGGACTGATTTTCTTGATCAAGCAGTGGAAGTTTATTCTCAGAAACAGGTTTCGACATCAGAAACTGTATCTTTTAATGATCATTCTGTTGATGAATCCGAGTATGGTATTTCAAGCAGCTTGCTGGAACAAATGAATTTTGTTTCAAATCAAGAAGTAACACCTCAATCGGGAATTAGCTTCTGTGCAAGTCCACAGGACAGTGTCTACGCAGCCACGCAATACATGGAAGCCAAACAAAGTTTCACCGTCACAGAAGTGAGTGGATGTGCAAACAGTGTCGAGAATCGTCAAATTGAAGAAGTTAGAAGCGTGGGAGATTTTGTTGAGAGTAGGAAGACAAGTATCTGCAGAGGGAGTAGTGGCAGCGATGTTAGCGATGAAAGCAGCTCGAGCACTTTGAGAAGTGCAGTTTACAAACCTCACCAGGCAAATGATACAAGATGGGAAGCAATTAAAGCCATCAGATCTCGTGATGGTGTGTTGGGACTGAACCAATTTAGGCTGTTGGACAGATTGGGTTGTGGAGATATAGGCAGTGTGCATCTGTCTGAATTGATTGGCACAAGTAGTTACTTTGCAATGAAAGTTATGGATAAAGCAGCCCTAGCTAGTCGGAAAAAGCTTCAGAGGGCACAAACCGAGAAAGAGATATTGCAATCTCTGGATCATCCATTTCTGCCCACTTTGTATGCGCATTTTGAGACCAACAAGGTTTCGTGTTTGGTGATGGAGTTCTGTCCTGGGGGAGATTTGCATACTATCCAGCAAAGACAACATGGGAAGTATTTTCCAGAGCATGCGGCCAGGTTAGAATCCTCCCTCCTGGGAAGTAATTTGACAAAGTGTTTTCTGTTTCTGGTGATTGAAACAACATAATTGGAATAGAAGATTATACAATCTGTTAATCGCCATATGCTTTTAGTGTTACAATAACTTCCATCTATTAGCTCCTTGCTTGAAGAGCATTTTTATATGAAGGGTTGTTGATCCAAAATTAATGGAGGGTTGTCTTTTTATGACTTAATAGTCTCAATGGACATTTATCACCAAAGAATTGAGTTAAAAAGATAAAAAAACTGGTATAGTTGTTCACTTTTCTTTGTTTGCTTCCTGTGTCAATTGATATCTCTATTTTTGTGATGATTTTGTAAATGTCTCTCCTTCAAAGTCGTGCCCTGTGATTTTATATCTAACTAAACGTAACTTGTTGTCACCTTATCATATACCTTCAAGCTTCCTTTTTCGCTAAAACTATAGTATTCATATTCTCTTTTTCATCACCCTATTCTTTCCTTTTTCTTTTTCTTTTGCAAATTCTTTTAGTTTTTTTTTTTTCTTTTTCTTCTCACTATTCAGATCAATAAATATTTTCATTCTTTCCTAAATGGATTCCCATGTGAGTGAAATAATTTGAGTTTGTTAACCTGTATCTTTGTGTAGGTTTTACGTGGCAGAAGTTCTCCTTGCTTTGCAGTATTTGCACATGCTTGGTATCATTTACAGAGACCTTAAACTGGAGAATGTTTTAGTGAGACAAGATGGGCATATAATGCTTTCAGATTTCGACCTCTCCCTAAGATGTGCTGTTAACCCAACCCTTATCCAATTCTCAAACTCGACCTTCAAATCCAAAAACTCAGATTACTGTGTTCAACCCTCTTGTATTGAACCATCTTGCATAATCCAGCCCATGTGTTTCGCACCACGTTTCATGACCAAGCCAAAGAAAGCAAAAAAGACCAAACCAAAGACTGAAATAAATCACCAAGTGAGCCCTCTTCCGGAGCTAATGGCAGAGCCCACAAATGCTCGATCGATGTCCTTTGTGGGTACCCACGAGTACTTGGCGCCTGAAATTATTAAAGGCGAAGGCCATGGCAGCGCTGTTGATTGGTGGACATTGGGAATCTTTCTTTACGAACTCTTGTATGGGAGAACACCTTTCAAAGGAGCTAATAACCGAGCCACTTTGTTTAATGTGGTTGGACAACCCTTGAGATTTCCTGAGTATCCTTCAGTGAGTTTTGCTGCGAGGGACTTGATCAGAGGTATGCTCATGAAAGAGCCACATCATCGCCTTGGATATCGACGTGGCGCCACTGAAATCAAGCAGCATCCGTTCTTTCAGAATGTAAATTGGGCACTGATTCGTTGCACCAATCCACCGGAGATTCCAAAACCCTTCATGATGGACTCTAACGCTGGGAATGATGTGAAGAAGACGATGGGAACAGAGAATTCGGGTAATTATTCAGAGATTGATGATTTCTTTTGATGCTTCTCATGAAATAATTTCATTGACAAAAAAGAATGAACATAGTAGGGGTGGGTCAGTGTTTTACCCGCTTGTTGGTTTTTGAAATAATCATTCCTAGAAAAAGAAATTTTCTTTTTGGGACATTGTGTTGAATGGCTTCAAAGAATAACAAACACATGAAACTTTTGTGATATCAAAAATGTAGTTATACAACTTTACTCCGAAAATGTCTTCAAGAATTAGTGAATTGCTTCTTTACTTTGTTCTTTCAATTCATCATTTATATTGAATTGAAGTTATCATTTCTAGTTCATCTAATGCAACAAAATACCTCCTTGGTGATGGTTTGAGCCATTTGAGTTGGAAAATTAAGAAATAATAGAAATTTCTTTTTCATTTGATATGTGTAGGGCTTCTTTCAAGAAGTTTTTGTCTGTAAAACCTTTCTAGAATTGGTAATTAGGGTGATCGTGAAGACTCTTCAAATCGAGTTAGGTGTAATATGAATTCATTATTAAATTCGAACCCGATTTGATCATGATAAATTCGATAAGAGAGCATCCAAATTGTAATATTGCCCATTCAGGCATCAGATTTGAAAATTGACCCAACCCGATTCATTACATTATTATTTTTTTTTGGGGTTATTGTTGGCCATTATTTTTAAAATAGAATTGTCTTACAGCATCCACAATGGAATAGTTAAAATTGTTTGTTAAAATGTGAGTTATATGACAAAAAGTGATAAAATGAGATCCAAAAATATGTGTTAAGGCATGTTAAGAATTTGTTAATTTTAGAGAGTGAGTAGTGGTGCAATGAATGTGTTAAGGTGTGTGTTAAGGAGTCATGATAGAGACCCCCTCTAATCACCACCTCCACAACGCCCACAGACACGTGGCGGGTGGTGATTGGAGGAGTAGAAAAAAAAGAAAAAAGAAAAAGAAAATGTGAGAGGGGGTCAAAGGGGTGGAGGGAAAAGGGGACATGAAACATTTTTGATAAATAATATGTGTTAAAGGTGTGTGCATTATATATATAAATAATATGTGTAAGGTGCAATGGATGAGGAGAAGAATTGAGCAGGTCGTCCCGCGGGTCAATCGGCCGGTTGACCGGTCAAAGATAAATTTTATTTTATTTTATATTTTTGTGAAGGGTCAGGACGTCTGGGGGATGACCGGCCGGACATCCGGTCGGACAACCCAAGGCACTTTCCAACGTTCCCTTCTCCCTCTCTCCCCTCTCTCTCGCTGGTTAAAAAGCTAGCCACAGTTAACAACGGTCCTGTGTAACTGTTAAAACAGATTATAGATTATAACTTAACAGATTATAGATTATGACTTTAATCAGAAGTTATTAATCTGTTTGGTATAGTTGTTGGATTATAGATTTAAGTTGCTGAGTCTTGTTTGTTAAATAAGCTGTGAAGTAACTTTTTTAATTAATTTTTATTTTTTATTATTCACTATTTGTCTACATTTCTCATAAAAAATAATAATAATATTTTATAGTCCATTTGTGTCTTTTTCTATTTTTCAAAAAAAAAATCTAAGAGTATAACTTTTAATTAGCATGTCCACAGCAGAAGTTGATAATCAGAAATAAAGGGTGAGCAGTTTCTCAAAATCAACTTTTTTTACTTAAAATAAATTGTTAGAATGAGAAACTGTTTGAAATAAGTTTAACCAAACAGTTCAAAATAACTTTTTAAAAGCCAGAAGCCATAAATTGGCTCAAAAAAGCTCCACAAAACACTCCCAAAGAAGTTAACAATTGACATTAACAAAATCCACTAACATAGTACTTAACACTTCTATTGTGAGATCCAAACGTTACTGTAACTAGTTAAAATTTGCCACTAACACTAACACTAACACATCCATTTTGGATGCTCTTATATGCACATAAAAATCAGAGTATGAAAATTGAATTAATTGATAACCGGATTGAAATTTTCCCAATTTTGATCGGACTAATTTAAATTTTATTGGATTCGGTATTTGTTAAAGATTGAAATTCAAGACCTCAATTGTTACAATTAAACGATAAGATTTAAAAAAAAAATTATAATTATAATAAGAAGATAAAATGTAATATATCATTTTTATTAACGTGCAAAATGAGTGGTGTGAAATTTCTTTAAAATTTGATTTGATTTTTCAAATTTTTTTTAGACGGTTTTTTTTTTCATATTTTTTTAAAACTATTTAAATACATTAAATTACAGTTTTTGTTCACATTGTTTTTTTAAAATTTTTTTTTAGTATTGTTTTATACTTTAGTTATTTTTTAAATACATTTTAATTAGGTTTATCTAAAAAATTAAAAAATGAACACAAACTAAAATTTTAATATGAATTTTTTTATTTAAATTATTTAATTCTAAAGAAAGAATATCTTGAGATTTAGCACATGAAATAAATATATGAGTTTAATTACCTAAAAGTCTTATTTATAAATGATATAGTAGCTTAGGTTCTATTTAAGATTTTTTGAACCAATAAGTCCTATTTAGTAAAACTAAAAATATTATCAATTTTTTTCAATTTTTAAAACTAAGAATATTATCAATTTTTGCATAGTAATGTTCCAGATAATTATTTCATTAACTGATGAAAAAAAATAGTGCATGGAGATTAAACGTTTTTTCCTTTTTACTTATTAGTTTGATTTAACTATCTAATAAAATTGAGAATATTATTAATTTTTTCTAATTTTGAAACTAAAAACATTTTGCTTGTTTTTACTTTTCAAAAAACACTTTTCAGAAAATTTTACTTTTTTATTTTCCATGTTTTTTTTGTTTTTACTGAATTTTTTTAATATTTTAAGCAATTTTTTTTACTTTTTAGACACATCTAACATAAATACACCTAAAAAGTAAAAAAATTGTAAAAAAAATTCACTAGATACCAAAAATATAAAAAAAATACAAAATTCAGTACATTTTTTGTATTTTATGTATTTATTAATTTTTTAAAATATTTTTTCACAAAATTTTTACTTTTTAGATACATCTAAGTAAGGTGCATCTAAAAAAGTAAAAAAAATATTTGAAATTTAAAAAATATTCACTAAAAACAAAAAAAAACACGAAAACAAAAAAAAGTCAGTTTTCAAAAAACTTAATCCAGAAAACTCAAACCAAACACACTGATTAGTTTTTTCATTTTTTAAGTTTTTTTTTTTTTCAGTTTTGCACATCAATGTTCTATTGTTATGCTCCTTCATGGACACAAAATTTTCAATTTTACACACAAAAAAAAAAATCAAAATTATTTTTTTCACATAATTTTTTTGAAAAAAAAAATTTTAATTTGAAAGTTGATATTTTAAAGTTTTGAAAATCAAAAATAAATGTCAAATTATCATATTCCTTCATAGATAATTATAAATGATGAATAATCATTGTTTGAAAGATAATTTTGATTATTAAAAATTTTATGAGATATGAAATTCCAAAAAAATTTAATAGGCTTTGTTTGGGGTGTACTGTTTAAGTACATTTTTTTTTATCTTTTTATCTTTTTGAGTTACATCTTCTCTTTATTTTTCTGTATATATATATATATATTTTTTGTGAAAATTCAAGAAAGATTATCATATGGTGTGTTTGGTTGGAGGATTTGCGGAGGGATTTGGAAACGGAAAGGAAAAATGTGTGTGAAACTATGTGAAATGTAAGTATATTTTATTCACATTTCATTTGAAAGATAATTTTGATTATTAAAAATTTTATGAGATATGAAATTCCAAAAAAATTTAATAGGCTTTGTTTGGGGTGTACTGTTTAAGTACATTTTTTTTTATCTTTTTATCTTTTTGAGTTACATCTTCTCTTTATTTTTCTGTATATATATATATATTTTTTTTGTGAAAATTCAAGAAAGATTATCATATGGTGTGTTTGGTTGGAGGATTTGCGGAGGGATTTGGAAAGGGAAAGGAAAAAGGTATGTGAAACTATGTGAAATGTAAGTATATTTTATTCACATTTCACCTAACTTTTCTTTTTCCCTTTCCAAATCCCTCCTCAAATCCCCCAACCAAACACAGCGTTAGGAATGGCAAGGGGGCGGGGCGAGGCCGGGGATCACCCTCCTCGTCCTCGATCCCCGATGGTAGAAATGTCCCCGTCCTCGACCCTGATCCCCGACAGGGAGCCTATCACCGCCCCCACCTCCGCCCCCTAACGGGGATCGGATTTCCTCCCGAAAATTCTCCATCAAAAAAAAAAAAAAAACCAGCAATACAGACGTCAGTGTACAACTTACAGATCAAATATAACATCAAAAAAAAAAAAATCAGCAGATCAACATAGCAGATCGGAGGCAGATCCACCGTCGTAGACCCCAGATCAACACAGATCGGAGGCAGTGAAGGAGGATCGAGGCTACGTTGCCTCTGATCCACCACCGTACTATGGCGATGATGGCGGATTCACTGCACACGAGGTCACGGATGGGCGAAGGGGACTACGGGAAGGAGGAGAAAAGGCGATGAAGGACGGTGGTGAAGGCGAGGAGGGGAGGAGGCGACGGAGGCTTGGACCCTCGCTTCTTTCTCATCTCTCAGATCAGTCACACACAGAATAGAAGGAGGAGAAGAACGAGACAGTGAGAGAGAGAGAGAGTTGTTGAAAAGCCATTGAGTTCTAAACATATATATTATATAATATAATAAACAAGCCACTGAACTGAGTTCTAAACACTAAAATATATATATTATATATATAGATATACACACGCAGTGAATGATCAGGGCGTAGTCGGGGCAGGGCCGGGCTGGGGCCGGGGTCGAGGCATCTATCACCGTTCCCGGCCAGAAAATTATTGGGAATCTATTTTTTACTACCAGCCCCGGCCTTATGGGGAATAATTTTCGAAAAAAATCCGATTTATCGGGACGGGGAGGTCCGGGTCCCCATCAGGTCGGGTTTAAATTGTCATCTCTACACAGCGTTAAAGAACAAATAAAAATTAATAAAATTTAAATTTACAAATTAAAACTTATGTATAAATGTCTCTAAATAAATTGTTTGTTTTTAAAAGAACAAAAATGTTAAAGATCTCAAAAATTTTATTAAATATTTGAAATCCACATAAACCTGTATATACATATATAAGATATTTAGGGTTGGTTTGGGGTGTACTAAAAAAGTGCACTTTTTGTCTTTTTACGAAAAGATGTGCAGAAAAGTAGAGAGATGATGTGATGAAAAAAAGATAAAAAGATAAAAAGATGGATTATAGTAAAAA